GCACGCTGAGCTCAAAAGGTTCACTATCACTGATGTAGATGAATAGGTCAACGGTATATAAAGCCATGATCCGGAAGTAAAAGTAAAGTAGTCAAGGAAGTGTGAAGATGGGCCTAATTATAAATTTTTATAAATAAATAGCATTTTTCCTGAATATACTTGTTTGTAGTAAGTCTTGGTCACTTGCTAATGATGTAAGAAAACAGGAGAGGTGGTCAAGTAAATACCCCGAATTTTAATACTAAGTGGTTACAAAGGCAGGGATGGTGAATGTTAAAGTTTCCAGGGAAGTTTAGCTGATCATTCATATATGTTTGTTTTAGTATTATGACATGCACATAACCTGTCAACATTTTTATCTTTTAGTTGTAAGGCTCCTCTCTATGACTTGGCTGCTCATGAAGACAAAGTTCTGAGTGTGGACTGGACAGACACAGGGGTAAGATGTTATTAGTTATTTGATGAAGAGGAAAATATATCATTAGAATAAATCTGGTGTTTGTTGTATTTCATATATCTGATATTTATTATTCTCTATTCTAAGTTTCCATTAATATTATTCATAAAATCTCAGACTCCATTCAAAGAAGGAACAAATTTGTCCATTAATATTAGGAATAGAAAATATGAAGCACTTTTGTTCTTATGAGTATTTTAATGACATGTTTCAAATCCATAAACTTGCTACTTTAGACTAATTGGATCAAAATATTTCCCATTTAAAAAAATCTTATATAATGAATCTAGATTATAAAATGTGTTTAAATAATTATAGTTTAATTATTTTTATGTATATACATTAGCTCTATTGCCTAAGAATTCTTTTCAAATATAGGTCGTAGGGCTACATGTATAATTTGTAATATCCATTTACTGGCAAACAATGTGCTGTCCTTTAAAAACTTAATTTTCCTAAATGGGTAAAACTATATTACCCTTCAAACTTTTTATTACATTTCTTAGCAAATCCTTCATAGAAAATTACACCTTAACCAAATTCAAATGATCACTTTTAAAGCTTTAATATACTGTATTATAATATAGTGAAAACTGATGTAACCAGTCCATTTAAGTATAAACTCACAATGCAAGTTAACTGCTCATCCATAATTTCTCTGTAATCTGAACCACCAGTATTTACTTAGGTTTACTATCATATGAAATAACTGTCTTCTATTTGTGTGTGTTTTTTCTCTCCTTTTATGCAGTTACTTCTGAGTGGAGGAGCAGACAATAAGTTGTATTCCTACAGATATTCACCTACCACTTCCCATGTGGGGGCATGAAAGTGAATGATAAACTTGACTACAGAGGTTCTGTAAATGTAATTATAGAGAATCCTCAGAGTACATCAGTGCAGATCACCCTTTATAATAGTTCTTACTGTCTTTTTATTTTGTATTTATTGTATAACAGTGTGCATTTATAAAATATAAAATGTGGCTTGCATTCTCTAACTATGTAAACTCTTGAAATAAAACTGAGTTTATTATTTCTTTCTAAAGGAACTAGTTTGAATTAAAATTTGCCTTTGAAATGCTATAAAAGCATATATTAAAAATACAGTACTTGTCCAGTGGTGGTTGTTTTTTAACTTCTGATAAACAACTTTTTAAAGTTAGTTGTTTTTAAAAAGCATCTAAAAAATAAAATGTAATACAGAAAAATTTAGAAATGCAGTTTGCATTTGTTAAAATAAGTGATGTCTAACTGTAAACACTTTGAAGGTATTCAGAACATTAGAACATGTAGATGTTGCCAATTTATTAATAATTTGTTGAAATACTCTAAGTGAGGTACTTCATATTAAAGATGTCACCATCCTTACAGCAGTTCTCAACCTGTGGGTCGCGAACAATGAAAATAGATCCTGCATATCAGATATTTACATTATGATTCATAATAGTAGCAAAATTACAGTTATGAAGTAGCAACGAAAATAATTTTATGGTTGGGGGTCACCACAACATGAGGAACTGTATTAAAGGGTCACGGCATTAGGAAGGTTGAGAACCACTGCGAGAAACTGCATATAGATTTCATGGTAACAAGGAATCCTTCTACCATACTTATTCTTGTGTATAAGAACAGATTCTTTGGACCAAACCTTTCAGTCAGTATTAGATACAAACTTTCTACAATTGGTATAGCACTTGTCTACATTCATATGTGATATACCAAATATTTAAAGTAAATGCCCTCTTCCATCTTTAATGGATTGGCATTCCTCAAGCAGAGCACTTCAGCTTCTGAGTAATATATGGAGAATCAGTTTGATCATATCATTAGACTCTAATGCAATATATATATATATATATTTTTAATCCTCACCCAAAGAGATGTTTTTCATTGATTCTAGAGAGGGAAACAGGGAGAGGTGGGGAGAGAAACATCGATCAAAAGCCTCCCATGTGCCCTGCCCGGGGATCAGACCCACGACCCTTCAGTGCACAGGACAATGCTCTAACCAACTGAGCCACACCAACCAGGGTACAATATATCTTTTTTTTTTAATCTTGTTTTAATTTTTAAATTAGAGTTGGCATACAATATTATATGTTTTAGGTGTATAATTCTGTGATTAGAGATAGAACTTATGAAGTAATCACACCAATACATCTAGTTACCCATCTGGCTGTAGTTGAGAGCCAGATTAACAGTGGATTAAACCAGGTGTAAATTTAATTCTCTTGTGTGTAGCTGTCCAGGGCTAGTGCGGTGGTTTTTGTTCCACATTCCTTAGGGACTCCAGCATGCACCCTCTACCCCCATAATATGGACCAAGAGCTAGAGCTCCAGTTACATCATTTTTTTTTTCTCATTTAGTGACTGGAAAATTCATACACAAAGTCTGTTTTTCTCATCTAGTGAAGACCTGTAAATTTTATATCTGTAGTTTCTGAAAATATTTTAATTTTCAGAGAACAGGGATAAATTTCTATTTCTGTCCTGGGTGGTCTCTGAATGAGCCTTTCAGGCAGTGTTATTAAAAATATTTTGCCCTAGCCTAGCCAGTTTGACTCTGGATAGAGCGGCCTGCAGACTGAAGGGTTCAGGGTATGATTCCCATCAAGGGCACATACCAGGGTCGTGGGCTCCATCCCCGGTAGGGGGCGTGCAGGAGGCAGCCAATCAATGATTCTCATTGATGTTCCTATCCCTCTGAAAAATATACATATTTTTTAAAAATTCCTAATCTAAAGACATCTTAATATTTTCAGTCCAAATTAATTCTATAGTATAAATAGCCTACTCTTTTTTCTGTTCTAAAACTACGTTTTTTTCAGGTTCTTAAGGTAAGTACTTTGTAATAACATTCTACAATATCACCCCATCTTACCTCTCATGATATTATAGACTTATCACTTCAAACCTAAGCTTTTTCCACTTTTAGCCTATATGTCGTCGTAGTTGTAAATAATTCATATTTTGTGACATTAGGACAGCTGATAATTTTTTTGAGTCACTTTGAATTTAAATTATTTTCCATCAGTAACGTAATTCTTTTGCCTTATTTCCATTTTCCTCCTTGAGGTTTTTAGGCCCAAATTTTACTTTTTGCTCATGAAGACATTTATGACAACAAATTATGTGCATTCGAGGTCAGTTATTAACCGTTGTTAACTTAATCCCCTTTAAATCTTTAGAGTTAAATACCGATACAGCACATAAACATTTCCCACGTGCTGGCGCGGGTACCGAAAGCTCCCAGGACTCAGGAATGAGCAAGGCTCAGCGCATGGCCTCGCTCGGGGGAGAGGGGGCCCCCCGGAGTGTCCGGCAGGTGCAGGGGGGCCCTAGGGAGACGGGGAGGGGGCTGGGGGGCCCGCGCTATGGGCTCAGAAGAGGAAGCCGAGAGCGCCGTCCACTTACCCGCTCCGAGGTCTCACTCTCACTTCTGCCCGGCTTCTGACTTGTCATTTCACCCGGTTCAGTAAAGAGGCCGGAGAGGGTCCTGGGTTTATCCGAGAACCGACTGAGCCCGAGGTGGGGCCGTCGGGTTAGGCGGGAGCGAGAGGGAGTGAACGCGGGCACCCGCGGGGGCGCCGGGCTGCCGGGTTTAAATCTCCCGCCTCCCGCAACC